GGAAAGAGAGGAGAAGGGATTGCAGCAAGATCATTTCTCATGTGGGGTGCTTTCTTATTTCCCCATCTCTCTCTAGTAGGTGCATGTGCCCTTTGGCAAAATTATTTTTAAATCACTGACTATTTTTAATTTTACTACTCTTCAAAGAATAAGTCAGAGGTGTTATAAGTTCCATAAACCTACGGTGGTGTGGCATAAAGATTAAAAAAAAAATCAGCAAAGAAAATCCAAAATCTAGATGAAATTAACACAACAATATGGCAAATATACTAAACAATGGAGCCCTTATTATAGAAAAAGCACATGAAGTGATTTACCTTAAGAAATCAAATACAATTTCAAAAATTCAAATCTTAATGAAAGCAATCTCTATTCTCCAAATCAGTTGTTTTCAAGTATGTCCCATGGAGCTCTTCCTAGATTAAGTTCTTCAAAAGGTACAAGGACAGGGCTGCTACGAAAGAAGAGACTCTAAGCCAACCCCACCCTCACTCTAATCCTACATCCAACACAACTCTGCTTTTATCTATCTTACATACTAGTAGATTTCATTTGGAGAAAAGGATAGTATAGCTACAAAAAAGTGTAAAAACCACAGCTCCAGAAAGAAAAAAAAAAAAAACAATTTTTTAAAACTGCACATACAAAAAAAAGTCAAAAGAAATAAAAAAAAACACAAAGTTATATCCTTTGCTCTACCCAGAAGAGAACTTGACTATACAATGCAAATCAGTCATCTTTGTCATCGTCACTAGAAAAAGTGACTAAGAAACAAGTATCAGAGTAACTTAGTCACATATCCAGAAATCTCTCCTAATTCAAGAATATGGAGATTAACTCTTCCTAGAATCCTTTTGGCTTTTAAACAATCTCAATGTTTCACTAAAATCTCAAACTTGCTTAAGTATCACACACTATTATGGCCCAGATATTAAAATGATTCCAAGTTCTTCTAGGAAATGTTTAGTCAATTCACTAAAGGCAAGAATGTTATCCCTATTAAAATGTCATTCAATACTATAAATAATCTTAGGCATTAGGCTCTCCAACACTCAAATCCTTACATACACACACAAAAAGATTACAAAAGAAAATGACGGCAATTCTTTCCTATAGAAATCCACACTGGAAAAGAAAAGAATTGGTGCTGCAAAATGATAATGTGCAGGAAAAGTATCAGTTTATAGAGGATAAGTATCCCTTACCTGAAATGCTTGGGACCAGAAGTAATTCAGATTTCAAATTTTTTCTGATTTTGGAATATGTGTTTATATATAATGAGGTACTTTGGGGATGGGACCCAAGTCTTATCACAAGATTCCTTTATGTGTTATATATTCCTTATACCCATAGCCTGAAAACAATTTTATACAGTATTTTTATATTAAAGCATTTTGAGTATGACCCATCACATGAGGTCAAGTATGCAATTTTCTACTTGTGGCATTATGCCAGTACTCAGAAAACTCCAGATTTTAGAGCATTTCAAATTTCTGATTTTCAGATTAGCCCAGTTCAATCAGAAGTATGTTGATTTAACAAAAATTTATTGTACTTTGATATGCACAAAGTTAAACACAGCTGAAAAATGACAAACAGGCCTAAACAGAAGAGGCTATTTAATAAAATTCCTGATTAATACTAAACAAAATACACTGAAAAAAGTGTATTTCCCTTTATAGAAATAACACATTAACAAAATTATGAGTGGTCAAACTATGACCCATATGTTTCTGTAAATAAAGTTTTCCTGGAAGGCAATCATACTCAGATATTGTCTATGGCTGTTTTCTTGTCACAGGACAGAGACCATAAGGCCCAGAATGCTAAAATATTTATTCTCTGACCCTTTTCAGAAAAAGTTTGCTGACTCCAGACAAAGAAATTCTGAAATAATGTGTATAGTATTCTCAACTGGACAGGTCTGAGAAGTATTTCATTTTGGTTAAAGTCTTTTTACAAGCAAAATGATAAATAGCGATTGAATGTTTAAAAAAATAATTGGAATAATAATAATCTGAAAAAAATGAAAAGCTATTGAATGATGATGATGGAGATTTTAATGTCTTTATATCAACTGATATGAATGGTATTCCTTCTGGAAAAAGAAATGTAATACACTGTAAAGTTACATGTGATTCAATGTAATATAAACAAGATTATGATAATAATTAAAAGATGAAAAAAATTCTGAAATAGATGTGGTTTTTTTCTGTTTTGGTTTTTTTTTTTAATTTGCTATAGGGTGTTAAGCTTGCTGGAAAGAAACAGAGAGAGAGAGAAAGCAACCTGCAAGGAGGATGGCCACACCACAATTCCTTCTCCTCCATTCTCCTCTCAGGATTTTGGGCATGCATGCACACACACCTGGCATGTTTCTCAAGCTGCTAGGTCAGGACTTCGAACCACGCAGTTGGCCATGTGGGACCCAGCTACCACACCAGTGGCTAGTCCCCTGAATATAATTTTTTTTAAAGCTACCCTATAGAATTATTTAGGACTGATTATCAGAGTCCACCACCATTTACTCTACTGAGAAGAGACACAGAGTCCAATGCATTATGGAAATACAGAAAAGCAGTAAGATCAACACAAGGTTCTGATTTCTGAAATAATCACCTTTTTGTTTTCTTGAAAGGACAGGGCTGCATGAGGAACCCCCTCCAGCTGTAAATCACAGAAAGTGACAGATGAAAGTAAGAGAACTGCTAAAATCTAAAAGAAATTTGAAAATCTTGATTTGATTTTGAAACTAAGGAAAATGTGAACACATTTCCACAGAAGTGCATTAACACCATAGTTTAACATTTTAATATCATTAACGCTCAAATATATGGTTCTAATATGACCTTAAATATCAAAAGGACAAAAATCATTGCATTTAAAAAGTCAAAATTAAAATGTTAGAAATCTCAGATTATTTGGTCAACTGACAATCTAATATAAATTTTTATTAGAAACAATTAGTACAAATTTATATTTCTATTAACCATAAGGCATGCAATTCCTCAGAGAAAATGATTCGACAGTGAGTAAGAAATACTAACGGGAACCAGCAGTTAGCGTAATGGCTATGTCGCTGGACTCCCACGTAGTCAACCGCGGTTCACGTCCCGGACCCGGTGGCTTAAAACTCACGCCAGGCGCGTGTGCGTGCGTGCCCAAGATCCCGAGAGGAGAATGGAGAAGGGATTGCGGCATGACCATCCCCTCTGGGGGGTAATTTCTCGCTTTCTGTCTCTCTGTCTCTCTCTGTCTGTCTGGCGAGCGCACGCGCCCTATAGCAAAAACCTTTCCAAAAAAAAAAAGAAATACTAACATTTCTGCTCATGCTTTAGCAAATACTTGTGTTCATACAGGCAGCAATCAGACTTCCAGTCAAATTTTCTCTAGTTTGGTGAGGATATGAGTTAAAGGCCACACAATATATACACAGCACTAAATCAATCCCATACTACCGTGACACAGGAGAAGCCCAGAGAGAGTAAAAGCTTATTAAAAGCTTGCACTGGGTCTAGAGGTGGGGATTCAGGGATGCAAATCTATTTCCACTCCCAAGAGTAACTGGGCCTGCCAACCTCACTGCTCTCAGTCAGCATTCTGTCTTAGAGCTCAACCCACAAGAATGTCAAGAAGAAGCTCAGAGATGGGGCAGTGGAGGTAACTGTAAGAGCTGGGAATGGAAGGGATTTTTTTTAAAGTCAGAGCAAGAAAAAAAGAATCCATAGGGCAGAGAAAAACTCTAAAATCCCTAAGAACACTTGAAGATAACCATCTCTGGCAAATTAACACAAAGTTCCTGGAAATATTTTCCCTAATGTTTTTACTTTGCAATACCTAAAATGCCATGTGGAAGCAGACAAGTCACACAGAAAGAACCTGGAAGCTAGGCTATAAAGGTTTGGCCTCATTTTGCCATCTAACCTTTCTAAACTTTAGTTTTCCTATTTGTAAAAAAAGGATAATGCCTTGCATTTTAAGTTTACGCAAGGAATTAAGATGTGAATTGCTAAGTGCAGTACACAGGGCCCATAATTCAATAGAGAGCAACTAGTAGTATTGCTATTAATTATAAAAGTAGACCTTGAAAAAACTTACCTATGAGTTCCACAATACTCCCACTACGGCTTCGGCCACTAGACTCATCTTTAGCCACAGTCAGCTGCCCGATGCCACCTGCCATGGTAAGTGCTTGCAGGAGCTCAGGCGGGGGCGTTCGCAGGAGCTGCTGTAAGAGCTCCAATGCTCCAGTCACCACATTGTGGTCTTGGTGCTGCGTGTGATGCAAAGTCAGCTCATAAACCTAGAGAGAGAGAGAATACAGGTATTCTTATCATGCTGTGGAAAACATGTCCTAGGGTTCACCTTTTTCCTGTTTCTTTAAGGTTTATTTACTTGTTTTCTCCATAAGTGAGAGAAACAAAGAGGTAAAGACAATCCATCCATAGTCTTCTGCTAACTAGCCCCAGATCATGAGCAAACATGTGCCAGGCATACTCAGGGAGGTCTCCAGATTTGAACCATGAACCTTCCCATGTGGGATTGCCTGGCAGAGAGTTGTTTTACTCCTGCACTACTGTCTAGTGCAAACCCATTTTTTGTTTCTGAATAGGCCTTTGTTAACAAAGTCTGTACCTTAATTTCTTCCTCTAAAAATTTCTCTATCACTTCTATGTCTATCATTAGCTTCCATGTGGTTTCCTAAAACTCCCATGACTTTTTCATTGTTATATTAACTTCTTAAAAAATTAATAGAGCACTTCCACTACAGTAGGAGCACACTAATTCCGATCTTCATTTCCCAAAACTGGTGACTAGTAAAGAGAAAATAAAACTCAACATAGAAAAAGGATAGAGTCAGTCTGACACACAGGGCTGTGTGACCTGGTAGTTAATGCAGCTGGATCCCACATGGCCAATCTACAGATCAAATCTTAGACCTGGTGGCTAGAGAAACACACCAGGCGCATGTGTATATATATACTCAAACTCCCAACAGGATGGAAAAATGGAGAAGGGATTGCAGCCTATGTCCCATAAGAGGGTCCTTTCTCCTCCCTTTCTCTTTCCAGCGAGCATATATACCCTATAGCAAAAATCTCTCAAAAAAATAAATAAATAAATTAGTCAGAAAATATTGTTATAAGGGCCATAGAGTGCTCAACATCCTAAAGGTAGTATGTCAGATTTTATTATTCAATACTATATCACATAATATGAACAAAATAAATTGTTCTTTTTCCCTTTAATTAGACTTGACAGATAAAATATACAGTGCCCAATTAAATTTTAATTTCAGATAAGCAAATAATTTTGCAATATAAGTATGTTCCATGTGATTTAGAACATACTTATACCACCAAATGACTCATCACTTATGTTAAATTCAAATTTCACTGGTAAGCTGTATTTTTTTTTTAACTAAATTTGCCAACCCTATCTTCAAAATCATACAAGAAATACATGTTTCTCTCTCTTTTTTTTTTTTTTCAAAGTCAGTGTAGGGACCAGCACTGGTAATATCACTGGACTCCCATGTAGTCAGCCATAGTTTGAGTCCCAGACCCAGAGGCTTAAAACTTGCACTGGACATGTGTGCGTGTGTGCCCAAAATCCCAACAGGAGAATGGAGGAGAAGCAACTGCAACGTGGCCATCCCCCTGGGGGGTGATTTCTCGCTTTTTGTCTCTCTCTGTCTCTCCAGTGAGCACATGTGCCCTATAGCAAAAAGCTCTCTTTAAAAAAAAAAAAAAAAAAAGTCAGTGTAGAAGAGTACAAAATAAAGTTTTCATAGGTAGCTACCTTTAAACATTTGTTTTGTTTCTACTGGTAACCGCCATAATCTAAATTTGGGTCAACAAACTGCCGTCCTCAGGGCAAGTGTACCTTTTAGACCACATCCACCTTTGGACATAAAGTTTCGCTAGAACATGGCTAGTCCTGCAGACCATGGCTGCTTTCCTGCTATGATGGCAGAGATGAGCAGTTGTAACAGAGATGGCAGAGCCTGCCAAGCTTAAAATATTTACTATTCGGCCCTAGATTGAAAACATTCCTGGACCCACTATTCTAGCTAACCTGCTCGTTTCCCAATTCTTTAAACTATCCGCTGTGAACAAAGAATCTCCTGACTCCTCACAATATGATCATTGAACCTCATTTCTTCCCTTCTCTCCCAAAATCTGTTAGCAATGGCACTAGTTTCATCTTGTGGAAATTCACAGCATGTACATGCTACTACATAACACTATTTAAATCTATGTGTTCTGTCTAGAAGCTGAATCTAAAATCTTAATTCTGAATCTAAAATTTTAAACTGTATATATCTTCTAAGATAGCACAGATCTTATTATATACAAAATAAACTGTATATACCATAGTTCTAGTCCTGGACCTGGCAGCTTGCTTTCTTACTCTCACTCTTTTTTTTGGAGAGGTTTTTTTGCTATAGGGCGCGTGCGCTTGCCAGTCAGACAGAGAGAGCCATAGAGACAGAAAGCGAGAAATCACCCCCCGGGGGGATGGTCATGCCGCAATCCCTTCTCCATTCTCCTCTCGGGATCTTGGGCACGCACGCACAAGCGCCCAGCGTCAGTTTTAAGCCACCGGGTCCGGGACGCGAACCGTGGTCAACTACATACGTGGGAGTCCAGCGACATAGTCATTATGCTAACTGCTGGTTCCCTCTCACTCTCACTCTTGTTCTGTCTCTCTCTGTTGACTGCACATACCCTAAAGCAAATTTTAAAAATAATAAATAAAATTAAGTAAATAATTATTTTTAAAAAGTGTAAACTCTGACATAGCATTTTAAGTAATGTTTGAAAAATTCAATCACTTAAAATAGGGCTGCATTGGTATAAGGTTAATGAAATAACCTGCATAAGGCATGCTACAAAGAATGAAGTCAATTGTCAATCACATTTTTTCAAAATCTGTGTTTCTCTGTATTGAAAAAAAGAGGTTTCGGCACTTTGTTCCTACATCCCAATGAACTATTCCCATTCCCCACCTTCTCGGTTGGGTATCCCATCCTGTCTAGCCCAATGCAGTGGGCCACAAGAGCCAGGGAACAGAGGCAGCACTGGAAATGCTTTCCATTACATCCCCAGCACCTATCCCAGGGCACACTACATGGAGGCACTCAGTCAATATGTACTGAGGAGATAAACACCTGTCTTGACTCATGGTTTCAGAAACAGGGTATTAACATCTCTATCTCAGGCAGGGGCCTAAAGGCCTTATGGAATATTCACAGCACCTTTATCCGGTATCACCTTCTCTTTACTCATGATGATACTGACATACAAAGGTCACGGAGCTAGAAGTCAACACCCAGGATTTGAACTAAGCAGTACAGCTCCAGAGTCCATAGTCTTAACCCTTGGTTCTGCAGCTTCTCTTCCAAATTCATGGTTCTTTGAATGTCACTGGTTTATGTACAGGGATCAGAGTAAAGCCTATGGCTCTTACCTGGACAAGCTGCTCTGCAGAGGGAGAGACTTCCATTTCTTTCCGTGTCACCCCAAAGCTGCCTTTCAGGCTTGTGTCCTTGACCTGCTGTTGTAGCAAGGGCACCAGATACCTCAGTGTAAGCAACACACCCAAAATCAGGAGGGTAGAATGCTCTTCCTCAACAGGAACTAGCAAACCTAAAAGTAGCAACAAGAGTCCTGAATATCTGATTTTTTACTCAAGGTTCAAAGCCTAATGTTAGAAAGAAGAACTTCACAATTAAGCCCATGATAAGGCCGGTACTGATAATAAACATGACACAAACTACTATGAAAGAATATACATGAAGTCCAAATCCAGGAGAAGCTTTATAGGATAACCACATCCTTAGCTTAACTAGACTGTTTGCAAGTTGAGCTTTACCACATGTACAAGTCAAGCAGTTATCTATAGCAAATGCCCAAATGTGCTTCAGTACTTGCTAATGTCGGTTTCTACAGTTCTACGAGAGAAACTGACTGGTGACCTACAGGGAACACTCATGGACCTGGGATTCCGCCTCAGGCCTCCAGAGGCTGACTCACTCTAGCCAGAACCAGCATGAATGGAGGGCCAGGCCTGGGAAGGAGGGTTGGGGTTGTACAATGGTCTATATTCACTGCCCAGCAAGAGCTACGGCTGCATCTATTGGGTTGTCAGAAAAGTCATGACATATTTTTTATGTTTTCTATACAAAAATGTATCATGACTTTTCCAATGACCCAATATGTGGTTATAAAGACCCTATAAGGGTCACAGCTCACATTTACCAGTCAGCTAGTGCCAAACAGACTGGTCAAAAAGCCAAGGGATCATCTAATTTTCAAATGTCTTTCTTGTATGGGTGCTAGAAGCTCTGCCAATGATAAACCTCTTCCTTACCTAAGAGCACATTTAGTAGCCAGCTATAAAAATACTGTGTCCTCCTTGAGTGCTGGCAGATGCTCACTGCTGACCCAGCTGCTGTCCGCCGAATGGTAGGGGAGCTTGACTTCAGATTCGCTATAAAAGCCTTTAATAGAACCTATGGAGGCAAAAATCCAAGTAGATCAAAGATGAAGTTCTTAGGAAGCTTTTTACATATTTCATAAAACTTATTTCGAATTAGAAATTCCAAATTCTTGCAGATATAAATCAGAGACAAGTTGAGACTTCTACGGCTGAATGGAAAATTTAGATTTGGGGTGACACGGAAAGAAATGGAAGTCTATCCCAAATTTAGATGTTCAAGAGTAGTTTACAAATACATGGCCTATTTATTTCATTATAATCTACATTTATGGGCATGACCATTTCTACCTCCTCCATGTGACAATGGAGACCTCAGCTTCTACATAAAGTATAACAACAATATTTGAGAACAAGGTAAATAACATGGTACTATATAAAATACAGTAGGCTGAATATGGGGGCATTCACCTAAAATTCTAGTTACTCAGAAGGCTAAAGCAAGACTACTGAGAATGGGGCCGACAGATGGCAAGGTGGTTGTGACACTGGACTCCCACATGGCCCACTGTGGTTCAAGTCTCAGACCTGGTGGTCTGCTTTATCATTTTCCCTTTCTCTCTCTCTGATCAAATCAAAACAAAAATAAATAACAAATAAAGTTTTTTAAAAAAAAATACTACTTTATGTTCAAGGCCAGCATGTACAATATAAGAAGACTGTTTCTAAAAACAAACAAAAAGGCAGTAAAACAATAAATCAACAAATAACAAAGTCTAAAAAAAAAAGAATACTAGCCAACTAATGTCCCAGCCTAAGAGACGGCTTTAAAAAGTGCTGTTGATACGTCACTAAGAGACATTCTTAGGACTGCAATATCTTCAATTGGAAACACCTGCAAACTTCTTTTTTTAATGTATTTATTTGTTAATGATTATTATTATTTTTTAATTTAGCATAGGACATGTGCTCTCACCAGAGAGAGAGAGAGAGAGAGAGAGAAAGTGAGAAAGCATGCTGCCAGGTCCAGGACTTAACTGTGTTCAGTTAGATGGGAGTCCAGCATTTCAACCACTCTGCCACTTACTGGCCCCAATGCCTCCAACAGTATACTAGCCCAACTGTTCTCCTAAGAAATTAGAGAATACTAAATATATATATATATATAT